ACGCTGATCTCCAGGTTTCTAAACCTTTCAGGTCTTTGTTTTGGTTGCCAGCTAAGCTCCTGCACAGAACTTGAACTAGAGGAAAAACTCCAAACATCAAAGCTTTATTGAAAATCGATACACTGCACTTAGAGCATTTCGTTTTCCTGGCTTGAAATCATTAAATCATTAATTAATTAAGTTGGTCTTTTTTGTATAAGAAAATTGCTTGTTTGAAAGATCAAACTTAACGAATTAACGATTTAACGATTTTTTTGGGGCTACCTATTTTGACTTCAAATGAAAAAATGTTGAAAAAATGATTTCTCAATAAGAAAATTTTTTTGCACGGGAATTCGTGCACGGTGTTCTAGTCTTTTTTTGGAGTTGATCTCTGAAATTAATGTTTTGTGGATGCCCGTCCGAGGCCATCTGGTCGCAATCTGGGCGTGGAAAAAAAAACTCCGTGCAAGGAACTGTTGGCAAGGAAGTGGAGCAGGGGGCAGGGAACTGGGGGCAGCAAACTGGGGACAGGAACTGGGAACAGGGAAGTACAGGGAACTGAGTAGGGAACCGGGAACAGGGAACGGGAACAGGGAACTTGGGCCAGAGAACTGGAGAGGGAACTTGAGACAGAGAACTGGGGACCTGGGACAGGGAACTGGAGACAGGGAACTGGAACAGGAACTGTCCACAACTGACAGGGAACTGGGCCCAGGGGACCTTCGTAGCGGCTTAAGGGGGTGCTCAAGGGGGGTTTAAGGGGCGGGTAAAGGAGGGGACCTTCGTTGGGGCTTAAGCGGGGCTTAAGCCGCCTTCGAAGAGGGGACTTAAGTGCCCTTCGCCGAAGTTCCCGGGCCCAGCCTTCTCACAAGTGTGGAAGATGAGATGACTGGTGCCTGTACACCCTCTCTCACCACCATGGCAGGCACTGACATTCAAATCGTGCCAGTTAGTTTTCGATGGGACATGCTCGAGGCCTATCCAGTGAAAAATACACCAGCTGTCAGCAATTTCGACACTTTTGGATGCGAACTAACCCTGCTGGATCCGCACACTCAACAGGTGCTGTGTGATCCAACCCACGAATGCTCTCTGGGGCACCACTCACCACCATCTGATTGTTCAGAAGTGTTTCCAAGAGTGTGACTGCAGACCAAATCCAAGGGGAGAAGCAAGAAGATCACCCCAAGGCTGTTTGGATCCCATCAATGCCATTGAGTGGTTCCACCCAAAGCCTTCTCATCGGTTGCGCGACTGGGACATGTGGGTGTAGAACCCAGTTTTCACGCAAAGACCGAGAAGCTTTGGCGATATTGCTCTCACTGCGAAAAACTCCGGGTAGCAACCTTACACGGTAGACTACCTACCTCCCCTGGATCTTTAGCTCACAACAGGCTCTCTCACACTCGTCCGGTACGGTACGAAACCTTTCTCTCAAACCTCCGAATACTTCGGAAAACTTCAAACGCTGCACAAGCTGCTCTCAGACACTCGCACCCTTTTCTCACACTAGCCAAACGAA